ACACCATCTCGTACTCGGTGGCACTTTACGCCTTGGCGGTGTTTTATCTTGCTTGCAGAGATTTACTTCAGCCATTCAATCCAGTTCCAAAGTTTATCATAATCAAATCGGTTGTATTTCTCACTTACTGGCAGGTAAGACACTGGTTGAGTCTCAACATTTATAAAACTACTTTAAATTTAAAGCACGTTTTACTGTAGTTTTGGAAGGTTGATGGGGAACCTTGTGTTACTTTCTGGTGTTAACCATTCGAACATAGAAAGACTTCCTTTTCTCTCCAGAAAGGCTTCCAACATTAATTGCCATTCTTTGGCTTCTATATTCTGTTTGATGCTATATGAGTTCTGAATCGGCTGGGCTCTAAGTGAATTGTGATTTGTGTGGCTAACCTTTTATTTCCAGAAGATAGGCTGACACTTACTTGTTTGCTTTTCTTGAAAAATATACGTTTTATTTTCATATAATGTGTTTCCACTATGACTTTCCCTCTGTGTGTAAATATAAATATAAATTATTGAAGACATATTAATGGTACTGATAAAAGTGGATAAAAGTGGACATGCATAATTGTGCTTTGTTGTTGACCCCAACCGGAACTGACATCTGATTTATGCTTTCCAGTTTCAATTTGTATCGTTGTTTTGCTTCTATATCCTTCAAACTTGCATCAATGTTTTGCCATATTTTCTCTTATCAATTTGCTGAAACATAGTGAACTGATGATCACTATGAATGGAATGCACTTCCACTTGTTGATGATCATTCAGACTGTGAACATGATCTGAGAGCCACTCACGACAAACTATGTGGCTGTTATGTGCTAGGAACCCATGGTCAAACCGTGTTCATTGACACTTTCATATGACTCCCAAGCTATTCATGCAATCTAACATTTCTTATTTGCTATTTTTGAAATTATGTACTGATTTGTTACTTCAGACTCTTAGTAAATACCATTTTCTTCAACTTAAAGGCTGTTCTTTGATGTCTTTAGTAGAGCCAGAATAATACCAAGCATGGAGATTTTTCCCTTACTTGAAACGGTAATGTTATATTATAGCTGATTTAGTTGTTTCGCATGTCTTGCCTGAGAATTCATTTCCCTATTGTTATTCTCCCCCACCTTGGTGCTTCATAATTGCTGTGGCTGCTTTTGAATTCGTTGTTATGGGAATCAATAGAAGCAACAGATCTAAAATGGAGGCTTGTGTTTAATTGGTGTATAGTGTAAAATTTATTGGATACTTGGTAACTAAATTTAAGTGCCTTCTGAAGACTACGACTGAAAAGTTTTAAGAATTGTTCTTATTAAATTCCTTCTATTTTCAGGGTGTTTTGGTTTTTTTAGCCGCGAAGTCTGGATTAATAAAAGATACGGAGGAAGCTGCGGAGTTTCAAAATTTTATAATTTGTGTTGAGATGCTTATTGCGGCTGTTGGGCATCTTTATGCATTCCCCTACAAGGAGTATGCTGGTGCAAATATTGGTATTTCTGGTGACTTGTCAGCAAGCCTTGCACATGCTCTTAAATTAAATGACTTTTACCATGATACCGTCCACCAGGTGATATTGCAATTCACACCCATTTACTCTCGACACGAGCTTCTTTAGGAGCAAAATCTATTTTATAGTCCTGACTATTCTTTTCTTTGGTGTCTTTTATTTCATCATACAGTTTGCACCAACATATCATGATTACGTGCTCTACAACCACAGTGATGGTGATGAGGGTGCCAGGAAATATAGGGCTCGGACTTTTGTCCCGACTGGCCTTGAAATGGACACCGTTAGAAGAAACAAAAACATGTTAGGTAACAAGTTGGAAGATATACAGTTATCCGGTCTATCATCTTCTGGCAGCAGTACTCCGCAAAATTCTGAAATCGCACACGACACTGTAAAATCAGAGGCAACGGACTTGTCATTGCTCATGGACGCATCAAATATACATTCTGTTCCCTATGACCTTACCCTCGTTGACATTGACATGTCTAATTACCCAGCAAACGTGCCTGCTGCTAATGAAGATGGGACAAGGTGACATGAAGTGATATATTGGTTTTGGAATTCTCAGCAGTTTAGTATAAAAAAGCCATCTACACTCTTTATCACTGGATGACGCTAGGATTTGTACATGTAGGAAAATACATTTTGCAATTTCTTACAGTTTCGTTAATCTTCTGTTGATTAAGTATAAAACATTTAGATGCCATTTGAGTTGTACATTCAAACTGAGTTCTTGGCTGCATTTGCAAATTGCATGTAACTCTCTGAGTTCAATATTGTACAGCAATTTTGGGTGTGAAATATTTCATTGCATGCTTTTCTAAACGTTGAACTTGCCGTTCTTTGATGGAATTCCATTTTACGGCTACTTAAATACTTCGGTTTCTGCTGGACTCAGAATCTTCTTTGGGTAGATGGAAACAGTGCTGCAAATCCATATCGGTTTTCCATTTTTCTTTTTCTGTTTTGAGAGCTCATATCTGCGTGTCTACTCTTCTTCTATGGCTCTATCCTTTCTAAGATTCCTTTCCTCGTAACGTTATAAGAAGCTCGTGGACTAAGGTAATTATTATTTATGTGAACTTTATATTTATGTTGAGGTTGTTTCTCGATGCCCTATTCCTACTTTACCAGAGATGAAGGGAACAATTTCCTTCGAGGGTCCTGTCCGCACGTTGTAAAAGAGGGTCCATAAAGAGGAGAATCGTTTTTCGACTGTTCAATCCAAGTGTGTATAAGCTGTAATTGCATTCGATTTATTAGGGTGACGAACTAGGGGAAGGTCGCCACTCTTCAGAATTAGTTGGGCAAAAACTTGGATAGCTGAGTCATTAAAAAAAAAAAGGACGGGAACAAAAATTGTTATATGAGTTCACTAATGATTGCAAGTCTTGCTGCAGGGATTTTGTGCTCTTAACCTGTTAACAAAAATAATTCGACGTGTCATCAGTTGATGATAAAGCTAGTAGAATTGTAGAAACTTGTTTTAATTTTTCTCTTTCAAATTGTGAATAAGTTATCAATAGATGACGAACTCCATTAAACAGATATTAGAATCTCGACAGAGTATAGATGGATAAGCGCGAAAAAATAAGCTACTCATAAGTTGAACAAACTTATTTTGAATTCACTTAAAATTAACCAAAAGATAGTATATCGAGGTTACTGTAGATATTTTGGGAACCTTTTAACTTACACGGACACGAGCAATAGATGTTGTAAAACAGGCGGGAAAGCATTAAAACCCAAACCTTCTAGCAACTGGCTTTCATCCCTTTGGCATTTTTCTCACTTCACAAAATAACTCATATTCTTTCTTCCATTCCTCTATATCGATGGGTATTTAGGTGTATATTTCGGCCTCAATTCTATTCATGCATACTCTATTTTCACTCTAATAACTTCAATTTATGTGAATGTGCGCGCGCTTGTAATTTTTTAGGGATTGATGAAGCTACTAGCAGACAATGCTCCCAAGGCGATGAAGGAGCAGAAATTCGAAAGCTATGTTGGCCGGAAAATTGCCATTGATGCCAGCATGATCATATATCAATTCCTTGTCCGTAAACTCATTTTTTTTAATGCATTTGCATGTTAATTTTGCATATAATTGTGTTAATATACCCGTGGAAGTGATATTGTTACTCCAAAACGAATTTAGGCGCTCTGCTATTTTTTTTAGTTTATGAACCTGTTGATTTCCGAAGATAAATGCTCCTTTTATTAATTGTCTTTTCCTTATATTTCTAGATGTAGATAAGGTTACTTTAATTGCTGTACTTTTCAGGATTAAATATTATGGCGGATCCTTCTATGGATGTTACCTTGTTGACTAACTAATGGATTTGTTTGCTATATTCTCATGGTGGCTATAATAATATGGTGATAATATGGATGCCAGAAAATGTGAACTTGTATACAATTTTCATGGCTTAGGTTATTTTCTTATGACTGGTAATTACAGATTGTTATTGGAAGAAGTGGTACAGAAATGCTCACCAATGAAGCTGGTGACGTCACAAGGTACGAGAACTCTTACGCATAAACTGATCTTTGTTCATGAGATTTTGTAATTAAGAAAAATAGTAAATTAATTTATTGAAAGATACATGACTTGGACACAGAAAACCTTTTAGAGAACCATAAAATTCATCTATGTCAAAACTGCTCATTCTTTGCAAAATTCACAAGGCATCTGGATTTATATTATCTGTAATAGCTGGCAACTGAGGTATTTGTCCTTCATGCTAATTTTTAGTGCATTTGAAACTATCACGCTGAAAATCAAAAGAATGCCGTGAAATTTGGCAACACATGAATTTTGATTAATCTACCAGGGCTATCCAAAGTGAAGTTAGATTTTGAATAGTATTTTGAATATTTTTCCATAAATTTGAAACTATAACACTAAAATCTATCTCCGAATTTTGTTAAAACAGGAAATTTGATTAATATCATTCTATTTTCAAGTGAAATTAGATTTTGAATAGGAGTTCATTTTCTGCTAAAATTTGGTGTGCTGGGTACACAATCAATCACACTACAGCCATATGCAAACATCCACATCTTATGCATATAATTATTTGTGGCAGTTGATTTTAGAATATATTGAAGTATGATTAGTTAAATTCTAAATTTTCATTGTAATTTTCATTTTGACTGTTCATATCTGCATTTTGTTGTGTTATGTGATTTGTGAGAATTTGGGTTCTTTTGTACCCTGATTATTTTGGCCACTGCCTTTGCTGATTAGCTCAAAATTTGGAATTTTTTGTTTCTTACTTTTGCTCTGACCATTGCCATTTTTTGTATTTTGATGGGTTTTGTTTGATGGTGTTTCTTTAGTCATTTCAAGGGATGTTCATTAGGACTATCAGACTTTTAGAAGCGGGGATAACGCCATTATATCTTATTGTTTTACCTTCTTACAATTATTCTAATTCTTTTCTTATTATAACTCTGCCTGAGTAAAAAATGTCTTCTTTTTCCCGAATATGCACTGGCCTTTGTATATTAGCGATGTTTTTGATGGGAAGCCTCCAGATTTAAAGAAACAAGAACTTGCAAAACGGTAATATTATCTCATTTCTGCTAATTGTTTAGCCTACACTCCATATTAAAATTTTCTTGACCTTACTAATTGTGATTCTTTGTTATGCTTTCTGAATGCAGATACTCAAAAAGGGCTGATGCCACTGAGGACTTGAGTGATGCTCTGGAGGTTGGATAATAACTTCTATAGCACACCATCCTCACAAAATTGAAGTTGTCTCTGTTCTCTGCGCCTACCACAACAACCCCTATACCTTGTTCTTCTCTTCATTTTCATTTCTGCACACATTTTCTCACAGTATGAATGCTATATTGTCATTGCAGGCTGGAAATAAGGAGGATATTGAGAGATTCAGTAAAAGGACAGTTAAGGTAGGCTTATCGATTTCTTTTCATTAACTTCCTTGCAGATTGTTAATCTACATTGACAAACTTTTAATACACTTTCCACGACTTGTTTTGTTGTCAAATGCATGTAATGTTCATTCCTTACTGGTGGCTTTTACAAGCTGATAGACAATGGAGGAAAACTGAAGAATATAAAGAGAGTGAAATGTTGCAAATTCTTATAAATAAAGACTCTGTCCTTGTATAGAAGAGCTCTCTTTTCCAGTAATCAATACTTTTCAATTAAATCTTTGGTTGAAGAAAACTTCTCAATCAACTGCGTCTTAGTTCCACATCCACATGGAACCTATTTTACCTGTAAAAGAAAAAATAGAACATGATTTGTTCATGGAAAGGCGCATTGTATTGACCCACAGATTTCTAATGTAAACTTTCTAAAATCTCTTAGCAAAAACTAAAGTTATCTGAAATTTTCATGAAGTGGATGACAATGTAAGATAATCAGGACCAGGTTCAAGTTAATGGGTTTTGCTTTTAAGATCTCTGCATGATTCATAGAAATTTAAAAAATTTAATTGGTCTAATGCTCGAGTATATTATTTAATATGCCCTATGCATTTGAGTATTTGACACATTTAATTGCTTTGCCTTTCCCTCCTTGGTTGTGTCAATATGCTTTTTGGTTATGTAGGTGACAAAGCAACACAATGATGACTGCAAAAAACTTCTTAATTTATGGGAGTACCCGTGATTGAGGTGATTAAGCACATTTCTCACTCTTGTGGATGAGTGGGAATCAAGTGAGAATATTATTTATCCAAACAGTGTCACTTTCTCACTCATCTCTCTCTAACAGATTGGAATCATTCTTCAAACCAGTTGGTGGCACATCAGTACCCGTTAAGCGGAAGGTGGGATTTTATTTGCAGTGTTAAAGCTCTTCGCTGTTTCTTATTTGTGGGTGTTCAAGGTAGGCATTTGAAACGTAACACTAGCAAAGCTAAGCGTGTGCATTTGGCCAGTACTGCTACAAACTGAAATTTGTGGTACCCCGAAATCCATGGTAGATTATGGACTGATTTAAGAAAATCTGTTATGGTTTTTACTCAAGTTTTGGTAAAACGTGGTTCAATTTTCGGTTTCTGGATTAGGTGAATCAGGGAAAAAAAAGGAAGAAGGAAAAAACCTCCCAGCAAGGTGGCATATCCAGTAGTCCAGTGAATCCCCCTAGCAGCCAGTAAACATAAACCCTGCCCATCTTCCACGAAATTTCAAATCCAACATCAAGCATGCCTAGAGTTCCACCAAACTAATGTGGTATAGCAACGTGTCCTTTGAGGCGAAGTGTCCAAGTCCTTGACAATCCTGGCAGTTCACTGAGAGAAAGATCACAAGAGAGAGAGAGAGAGAGAGAGAGAGAGAGATTGAGAGCAAGCTAGTTCAAAACTTGGTAGGCTATATAGTAATGGTGAACGGGTAGGGGGTTGAGAGTCTCTTCACTGCCAATTTTAGTGGTTGTTGAATGGGATTTGGACATCTGACTTCATTAATATCCCATACAATACATGTTTACTTGTATGTGAATAGATTCACTTTTATTTTCTAAATTCAATGAAACCTAATAGTGAGATAGAAGGTTTGGCAATTAGGTATGTATGGAAATTTTGGTTTGAGCCAGTTTTACCATTCAGCACACCTCTAAGAAATACCGCACAAAGAAGTTTAGAAATGAATGTTCATGCCAATTCCTCTTTAGTGAAAAGAGTTCTTCACTTGCTATGTCTGATTCAAATATATTACTGTTTGCTAGCTATATTTACTGCATTGATCTTATAGAATAATATAAATAAAGCTGAATGTTGTATTCTACTTTGTTAAATGGTCCCAGCTCATATTGAATGTTCCTATTTTTATTTGTAGTTCCATAAAGCTGCCATTCCCCTGTACCCAAAATTTCATTAAGGTCCGTTTGATTGCAAAGGTGGAAAGAAAATGTTTTATTGGGAATTGAATTGCTTAGAAATTGTTTTACTGAAAATTGTGATTAATTGTGTTTTATTGGTATAATTTTCCACCTGGAAAATGTTGAAAGTTTGGTGTCCGTTTGACTTCATTTTTTATGGAAATTGTCAATTAAAGTGATAATTTTTTCTACCATTGCGTCTAGAATTTGTTCCAATTACCAAAAAATAAAAAATTAAATAATTAGAAAAAATTACCATATTCGTTTGACTTTGTTTTGCATAGAAATTGTCAACAAATAGGTGGGAAAACAAATTCAAGAAAATGTGTATAAAATAGTTGTACCTAGAAAAGGTAGGAAAAACAAAAGTTAAGAAAACTTTTGCAATCAAACACCATTAATTGGGTAAAGTTGGAAAATATTTCCTTTTTCCATCTAATTTTCTAGACTATCAAACACACCCTAAAGGACGGAGATAATTTATTGATAATTTATCTTTTTGGCTCATTCGTCATCTGTGCTCTAATGCGTTCTTTGTTAGCTTATACTAAAATATTGTTGGTCTTTTAGTTGTATATTCCTGTAGTCAGCACATATTGTTAATTTAATGGGCTCAATGTTTGTAACAATATCTAGGAAATTAATTCTATTTTCTGGTGGTCTGCTATATGTATTTTGGATTTTACCCGTGTACAGAAGGCAGCCACAAGAATATTGTGAGAACAAAGAGAAATGCGTGGGACCCACCATGTGATTAAAAAAATAAAAAATGCACGAGACCCACCGAATGTGTGTATTTTGGTGAATTTCTGGTACAATTCTTTCTGTACATCCAGCATAGTTCATGTATTTTACCTTGAAACCTTGTTGCTTTATTCCTATTAACTCCTCTACCCCGTTGGAAGCACTTCTCCATACAAAGACGTTAAGTTATTGGGCAAGTGACTGATATCACTTCTTTTAGGACTTGTACAATACTCCACTCTGATTGGTTATGACTTTTGGTACTGGCCAACAGGTAAATAAGTGCATTCTTGGATCTGCAAAACCAGTAATCAAGCTTAGGACATACTCTATGGAGTCATCCCTTCATTTCAGGCCTAAGGTCATTGCCAGGATAGGCCTGCCAACCCTAGATCTTGGCTCGAGGCAGTCCGTGCTGTTTTCCAGAAGCTTTTGCTTTGACACATGAAGCTGAAAATCCACGGTGAATCTGGATCTGTGACTATTATGTTTCTTAATTAAATCACCAGTTCGAGTCCTTTCAGGACCACTAAAGTGAGTATCCAGCCGTAAACTTCAAGGCTCCGTGAAATTAGTTGAAATGCACGTAAGTTGACACGGACATCCAACGTTATCAAACAAAAAAAAAAAAATCTAAAATTTTGAAAGCAGTGGTATCATTAAAGGGACAATAAATTCATGAACCGCACTATTCGTACCGAGGGGTGTACAACCCCCC